ATGAAACACCAAACAGGTGTTGAATGTAGTCAAGGATATTACCATATTGCTTGCTACATACCTTGTCACTGCAGATGTGGCTTCTCTATACACCAACATCAATCACATGGATGGAATGGAAGCTGCGGATTTTTATCTCACGCACAATAGCACTTTACCCTCGGCACAGAAAGACTTTATTTTAAATCTTTTAGAATTTGCCATGAACAAGAACTATTTTTGGTTCAATAAAAAATATTATCTGCAAATTAAGGGAGTAGCCATGGGGGCTAAATTTGCCCCCAGTCTCGCGAACCTGTTTATGGCCTGTTGGAAGGAGAACCTTATATATGCAAGAGAATGGCCGGAGCTTTTATTATATAAAAGGTACATAGATGACATTTTCCTCCTTTGGAATGGAGAAGAACAATCACGTATTAATTTTTTCTGCACCTTAAACAATAACAACCTCAACATCAACCTTACTTACACCTGCAGTAGACAAGAAATACATTTTCTTTATTTGAACCTTGTGAATTTTAACAGGAAAATTGTCACCAAATCATATTTTAAAAATACTGACCGCAACAGTTGTATCCCTGTTGATAGCTGCCTCCATCCAGCATGGTGGGCAAATATTCCAAAAGGACAAATCATGAGGATCAGGAGAAACTGCACAGACTTGGACACTTATTACTCACAGGCCCTGATCCTCAAAAACAGATTTCTTGAAAAAGGTGATGTTGAAGCGACTCTGAATGACACCCTAAATACTGTGGCAAATCTAAACAGAGACGAAATGCTTATAAGTGGTGGAAAACAAGTCCAAACTCAGGTCTGTCCCTTCATCACTACTTATTCTATGCAACATAGAGCAATTAGTGGAATTATTAAAAATGATGGGGGCATTCTTAAAACGGACCCCATCTTATCAAGCATTTTACCCGAAAAACCAGACATTATATTCCATAAGGCTACAGCCATAAGACATCAATTAGTACCCAATATTGTGGACCCACCAAAGAGCATATCACTATTCTCAGACTTAAAAGGCTTCCACCCATGCAATAAATGTGTCATCTCCAAATGTAACAATGCTAGGAAGCATAAAATTGAGTCGTTCTCTTCTAACTCCACTGGTAGATCATACACCATTAAGAATTTTATCTCTTGCAACAGTAGATATGTGGTTTATATGCTTGAATGCCCCTGCCACAAGCAATACGTTGGTCATTCAACTAGGAGATTAAGGGACCGTCTCCGTGAGCATGTTTACAATATCAAAAGAGGTTTTAGGGAACATTCGCTGTCAAAGCATTATAAGCTTTGCCACAACAAAGCCCCCTGTACCCTCAAATTTGTGGGGAATGATGTCGTCACTCCACATTGGAGACGTGTATAAAAAACGGGCTGTTTCACAGTTGGAGACCAAATGGGTCTTTGAATTAGGCACTTTTACACCCTTTGGGGCATAATATATTATAATTTTTATTATAATACAGTATTTATATAGCGCTAAAAAGTTTGCTCAGCTCTGTACATTATAGTGGGGGACAGTACATGAGACAATACAGTAACAATACAATACACGAGGGGGTCAAGGGCCCTGCTCTTTCGAGCTTACAATCTAGGAGGGAGGGGATAACGGTACAGGAGGAAGTGGCTGTGGGGGATGGAGTGGTAGGAGGAGATCGGCTGTTAGGGGGAGGGCGGGGTAGGCTTCCCTGAACAGACGGGTTTTCAGGGTGCGCCTAAAGGTGAGGAGGGCAGGTGTCAGTCTGATGGATTGGGGTAGTGAGTTCCAGAGGATGGGGTAAGTCCTAGAGAGGTCCTGCAGTCAGGCGTGGGAGGTGGAGACCAGGTAACTAGAAAGCAGGAGGTCTTGTGAGGAGCGAAGATTACGGGTAGGGTGGTATTTGGGTATCAGGTCGGTGAGGTAGTTTGGGGCAGTGTTATGAATGGCTTTGTATGTATGTGTTAGTAGTTTGAATTTAATGCGTTGGGCAATCGGGAACCAGTGGAGGGAATGACAGAGGGGGGTGGCAGATGCGGAGCGGTTGGTAAGGTGGATGAGTCTGGCCGCTGAGTTCAGGATAGACTGAAGCGGGGATAGTCTGCGACGAGGTAGGCCAGTGAGAAGGGAGTTGCAGTAGTCCAGACGCAGTAGTCCAGACGTGAGATAATAAGGGAGTGAACGAGTAGTTTAGTAGTGTCTGGGGTTAGGAACGAGATGTTGCGGAGGTGGAGCCTGCATGAGTTTGCCAACGATTGGACATGGGGTTGGAAGGACAGGTTTGAGTCTAGAGTGACACCTAGGACTTTGGCTTGTGGGGTGGGACTAATGGTGGCATTCTTGGTCATGATGGAGAGGGTGGCGGAGAGATGGGCACAGGCTGGGGGGAAAATTAGGAGCTCGGTTTTGGAAAGGTTCAATTTGAGGAAATGGAGCGACATCCAGTCTGATATGTCGTTCAGTAGGTGGGTGATACGGGCGGAGACTGAAGGGGTGAGGCAAGGGGTGGAGAGGTAAATTTGCATGTCATCGGCGTAGAGGTGATAGTTGAAGCCGTGGGAGTGTATCAGTTTGCCAAGGGAGGAGGTGTAGATGGAGAGAAGAGAAGGGGCCCGAGGACCGAGCCTTGGGGGACCCCCAACAGAGAGGGGAGAGAGAGGGTGAGGTGGTAGCGTTATAGGTAACGCTGAAGGAGCGTTGGGAAGATAGGAGGAGAGCCAGGATAGAGCGGAGTCTCTGATGCCGAGGGAGTGTAGTAGTGTTAGGAGGAGGGGGTGGTTGACTGTGTCGAAGGCCGCGGAAAGGTCGAGGAGTAAGAGGACTGAGTAGTGGCCATTAGCTTTGGCGGTTAGCAGGTCCTTAGTGATTTTGAGTAGGGCGATTTCGGTGGAGTGTAGGGGACGGAAGCCAGACTGTAGTGGATCGAGGAGGTTGTTGCCAGTGAGATGGGTGCATAGGCGATCGTAGACTAAGCGCTCAAGGAGCTTGGAAGTAAATGGCAGCAGGCAGATGGGCCTAAGGTTGTTCAGGTCGGTGGGGTCCAGGGAGGGTTTTTTGAGTATGAGGGTGATGTGCGCGTGCTTTAGGGGGGAGGGGAATGCGCCAGTAGAGAAAGAGAGATTGAAGATGTGGGTGAGGAGGGAGCATAGGATGGAGGAGGAGGGCGACCGGAGGAGTTGTGTGGGAACAGGGTCAAGGGGGCAAGTGGTGAGGCGGGCTTCTGAGAAGACCTTAGTGACCTCCTCAGTGGTAGCAAGGCTGAAGGAGCGGAGTGTTGGGGAGGTTATAGTGTGCGGGACGTTAGGTGTGGTGGGGGGTAGGGCGGTTGCGAGGTCAGAGGAGGGGAGAGTTGGTGGGGTTATGGTGGGAGGGAGGCTAGGTGGGAAGGTAGGTTGAGAACTGGCGATGTCCTTACGGATTGCGTTGATCTTATTTTGGAAGTGATTGGCAATCTCGTGGGCAGTGAGTGAGGTACTGGGTGGGGGTGGGGGGGGGGGAAGAGTAGGGAGTTGAAAGTGGAGAAGAGCCGGCGAGGACAGGTGGAGAGGGTGTTGATAATACAGAAGTTGACGTGAATTGTTTTCATAGATAACAGCTAGATCCACGCATCTATAACCCTATTTATTACCATGCATAACATTTTATGAATTTATTAACTGTGTTCTACGTATTTTTATCTTTATTTATGAATCATACCTATTCTATAACATCGAGTATATCTTAGAGAATTTTATACACAGTTTTATGCATAGATCTTTGTATCTTTACTGATATTTATGAACTTTATTTGATCATGTGCATTCTAATCTAGAATTTTTTTATTCATTTACCCAATATGGTTTTATAATGTGGCATATCTTTTTGCTATGGATTATTATTCATTTTTTACATTTACCCACCTTTTATAAACACCAGAAATTTTTATAAACACTATTATCCCTCTTACCTTTATGTAAATTTTTATATACACCAACAACTTTTATTGTTTACTATATCACAACATTTCTATATTGATTCACCTTTGGTGTTTTCATTATTTATTTAATAATGCCATGAGCAATCACTTGTACAATACTAGCATGATTTTACCATGCTTAAATATAATTCTTACATGTGAATTATGCTCAGACATAATCTGAATCACCCCAGCAGTTTTATGGGCTATGATATAATTTGCACATTTTATATCCAGACCCCTCAATGATTCCCCCTCGTTCATTAGGGGTCCCTACTTGATGGAGTAATCGCTACTCTGTTTTGAATCCTTTCAGGTGTGTAATGCAATTATTCTGTTAAACATGACCTTCACAGCTCAAATAGTTGTTATCGTGACTTCAATCCATGGCAAAATGGTGTCCATACGATGCGCATGCGCCACTTTTCCTACATAAGGAATCGGCATTCATCATGGCAGTGTTGGTCTCCCCTCTAAGGACGTGCATGGCACGAAAAGCTTTAGGAGGAACCAACACGTCGTGATGTCACGCTGCCGCTGGAGCCACGTGTAGGTCTGGCAGCCATCTTTACTCTTGGTCAGTGCTGTGCTCACTCTGCAATACTGTTAACCCTTTTAACCTACAATTTCCATGGAATAAAGCATTTAATCTACTACACTATGGGCACTTCTTTTGTGGCTCCTTTATGGAGGCTATTAAATTACAGAGCCTGCAGACGATCCTGACTAATCCAAGCACCCAGAGGAAGGGAATCTCTTTAAACAGGCTGCAGACCCATCCATCCTAAAGGGGACCTCTGGATCAGCAGATCTTAATTTCTCCCAAGACCTCACTGCTGTGCTGTTCCATACCTAGAAGGAAGCTTACCAGACGCCAGACATACCCCACTCCCTTAAGTGGTCCGTGGTGGATATATTTATATGCGTATATTCAATGTGCATCTGGTGAGTGCGCAATTTTACTATTACTTCCAAGCACAAGCATCTGAATTCTGCTGCAGTTGGGATAATTAATATATTGCATATTATTTATGAACTTTTATGACTTTCAACTGTCACTATTTATCAGCGCTGCACTTCAGTTTTAAAGAAGTGACATCTTGCTTACTACTCTGCATGTGAGAGGTCCCGTACAATGATCGGTGTTCCACTGTGTCCAGAGGATAGAGCGGCACTGGATCGTGGTGCTGCGTGCTCCCAGGGAGCGCGCACAGTCCAAAATGGCAGGCGCCGTTTTATGAACGGCAACCCGCCCCTGGACTGCTTTATAACGCTTAGTCTACAATTGCCTGAGCTCCCATCTCACTGACCACAACCTTCTCGACCCTTTACAGTCCGGCTTCCGCCCCCTACACTCCACTGAAACTGCCCTACTCAAACTCACCAATGACCTACTAACCGCCAAAACCAACAGCCACTATACTATACTCCTACTACTTGACCTCTCTGCGGCTTTTGACACGGTTGACCACCCCCTCCTCCTCAAAAAACTGCACTCTATTGGCCTCAGTGACTCCGCTCTCTCCTGGTTCTCCTCCTATCTATCGCAGCGCTCCTTCAGTGTTACCTGTAACGCTGCCACCTCCCCTTCACTCCCTCTCTCTGTCGGGGTCCCTCAAGGTTCTGTCCTCGGACCCCTCCTCTTCTCCATCTACACCTCCTCCCTTGGCCAATTGATAAACTCCCATGGCTTCAACTACCATCTCTATGCTGACGACACACAAATCTATCTCTCTACCCCTCACCTCACCCCCTCAGTCTCCAGTCGCATCACCAGCCTACTAAGTGACATATCGGACTGGATGTCACTCTACTTCCTCAAACTCAACCTTTCCAAAACTGAGCTCCTAGTATTCCCCCCAGCCTGTGCCCCCCCCCCCCCCCGACTTCCCTATCAAGATCAACAACACTATCATCAGTCCCACCCCTCACGCCAGGGTACTAGGTGTAATCCTAGACTCCAATCTATCCTTTCAGCCCTAGGTCAAATCGCTGAAAAACTCATGTAGACTTAACCTCCGCAACATCTCCAAGATACAACTGTTCCTAACCTCGGAAACCACCAAGCAACTTATTCACTCCCTTATTATATCACGTCTCGACTACTGTAACTCCCTCCTCACTGGCCTACCTCACCGCAGGCTATCCCCACTTCAGTCTATCATGAATGCTGCTGCAAGACTCATCCACCTTACTAACCGTTCTGTATCTGCCACCCCTCTCTGCCAGTCCCTCCACTGGCTTCCAATTGCCCAACGGATACAATTCAAAACACTAAGGGCACATTCACACTTGGCTGTTTTACCAAAGCTTGCCAAACGCCCCTATAGCGTTTGGCAAGCGTTGGCCCAGCGTTTGCGGAGCGTCTTTTAACGCTCCGCAAACGCCGCATGCGCGGTTTAGCGGCGGTTGCTAGGCGTTTGCCGAGCGTTAAAAACACCCCACAAACGCCTACAATGCAGTTTGAATGGTGTTACCGCCCCGCAACCACACCGCAAACGCCGGCCAGGCGTTTGCGGAGCAGCACCATAGACTAGAATAGGAAGCTTCAACGCCTCCTGACTCGACCAGAGGCGTCCGTTTTGCCGCGACGCAACGCAAACGCTCCCGTTAGAACAGCACCATGTGCTGTAATGTGCAGAATTGGCAGAGGCGTTTGGGAAGCGGTAAAAACACTTCCCAAACGCCTCTCTGCCCTACACACAACGCTAGTGTGAACGTAGCCTAACACTGACGTATAAAGCCGTTCATAACACTTCCCCTAATTACATCACAGACCTTATCTCTAAATACCACCCAAACCGTACTCTCCGCTCCTCGCAAGACCTCCTACTCTCTAGCTCCCTTGTCTGCTCGTCTCCAGGATTTCTCAAGGGCTTCACCCATCCTCTGGAACTCCCTACCCCAATCTATCAGGCTATCGCCTACTCTGCTCACTTTGAGGCGCACTCTGAAAACCCATCTCTTCAGGGAAGCCTACCCTGACCCAGCTAATACTGGAATCCTCTACTCTTCCTACCACTCCATCCCCCACAGCTAATTACCTTGTGTACCACTATCCCCTCCCTCCTAGATTGTAATCTCCAAGGATCAGGGCCCTCTAATCCCTCGTGTATTTAACTGTATTATAGTAACTGTAGTAACTGTAGTACTGTAACAGTAGTACTGTCTCCCTCCATAATGTAAAGCGCTGAGCAAACTGTTGGCGCTATAGAAGTCCTGTATAATAATAATAATAATATATACAGCGGCCGGACGGCAAGTGGTTAATTACACCCATTCTTGGTTTCTGAAAATTTGGAACCCTTGGTGGTCTTACGCTCACCCTTCAATTCCTGAATACAGTTTGGGCTTATACCAATTTAAGGGGGCATCCCCATGCTCAGGCCATATCAATACTGTCTCCTTCTTCTTGATTTGTTTTTTCTTTCTTCTCTCTTTTCACTTATGCCCCTCTATACTTGCTCTTTCGCTAGGTTGTCTCTTTCTTTTCCGTCCCTGCCCCCGCTTTCTCACAGCTCCATAGAAATTCTGAGAAATGTGTGAAATAATGCCGAATTGAAAATCACAAAATTTCCAATGTGAGTGTGCATATATATTTTGTAAATTAAAAAATATGAGGTTATTCCAAGTAAGGCCTTAAAATTGCACGCACCTGTGAAATGGAAACAAACTACAGAACCCTATATTTTCCATTGGCGACTTTTTAAAGCCCCTACAGGTCTGCAGTTTACTGTTTACTGTAACGAATGGGTCTAGAATTATCGCTTTTATTCCAGCAAGTGTGGGGATGTGTATCATGTAGAACACAATCAACGTTTTTGTGCGGAGGCAGACCAATGCATGCATTTACATACACATGTGCATGCCTGTCGGAACCTAAAAATGTTTTTGGGGGGGGGAGTGATGATTTACTTTAATTTAAATTTTTTTTTTCCATCACATAGGGTACAAAAAGTGTTATAATTTTTGGGTGACAGATTCTCTTTAATGAGACATCAGGGGTTCGCAATTAAGCTGATGGAACGCAGATTGCAGCATGTCAGGGATACACACTCCTGGTGGCTACAGCCACTGGTAGTGTGTGTGTAAAACTCCTTGCTGCCACTTACCTAAGACATAACTTGAAACATGCTTCAAGTTAAGAAAAATAACTGCTGTTGTGCCAGAAATATAGTATGTTGAGACCTTAACCTTATTTCAATACTGGACACTTTCACCCCCTTTCTGCCCAGGCCAATTTTTCACTTTCAGCTCTGTCACATTTTGAATGCCAATTAGTGCCCCATCACACCGGTGCGATTTCAGGTGCGAATTGCAAATTGAAATCGCACCTGAAATTGCATCTAATGAATGTCAGTGTCTTAACATGTGCGATTTGCTGCAGCTTGATTTCTAAAGTAGTTCTTGCATTACTTTTTCTGCAGGTTTTTTGCGATTTCACATACATATAATATAATGGAAATTGCACTGCCAATTGCAAGAAATCGTTGAAAATCTTCACAAGTTGCAATAAAGTCTTCAGAAATCGCACCTGAAATTGCACTGAAATTGCACATAAATCGCAGCGGTGTCACCGGTGACTTACTCAGTCAAGCAACATTGTACCCAAATTACAGTTTCCTTTACACAGATAGAGCTTTCTTTTGGTGGTATTTAAAGGACAATTAGGGCCAATGCTCTTTCAGCCCTACTTCTTCTATGGATCACAGCAGTGCACTTCATTCTGCATGACCCCTTTTCAGCAAACAACAGGCTAAAGCTGTTGGCTGACGTCACAGAGCCAAGGGTCCATCCAGATGCCTGGGCCAGCAGCTGCCTCAGCCTCTCAGCAAGCCACTAAGAGCCTGAGCCAGCTGCTCCCACGCCCCCTCATCCTCAGCCCAGAGATCCAGTGAGAGTTGGAGGGGCAGAGTAAGAGAGCCAGTGATGGACAGTCACCACTCACTGAAGACTGATAACTGAGCAATCAGCAGTCTTTCATCGCTCAGGTAGAGGCAACAACAGACCAATGCTGCATCCACCTATGTGAGTATAAATGTGTTATACAATTTTGCAAATAAATAATCTTTCTTCATAAATTTAGGCCAAAATGTATTCTGCCACATTTCTTTGGTTAAAAAAAAAAAAAAAATCAGCAAATATTATCTAGTCTGTGTAAAAGTCTACAAACTATGGAATATACACCGTATTTTTCGCTCCATAAGATGCACCTGACCATAAGAGAAGGAAAACAAGAAAAAAAATATTCTGAACCAAAGGACTGCAAACATAGTACAGGAGATGACCAGAGACTGCGGACACAGTACAGGAGATGACCAGAGACTGCGGACACAGTACAGGAGATGACCAGAGACTGCGGACACAGTACAGGAGATGACCAGAGACTGCGGACACAGTACAGGAGATGACCAGAGGCTGCGGACACAGTACAGGAGATGACCAGAGGCTGCAAACACAGTACAGGAGATGACCAGAGGCTGCGGACACAGTACAGGGGATGACCAGAGGCTGCGGACACAGTACAGGGGATGACCAGAGGCTGCGGACACAGTACAGGGGATGACCAGAGGCTGCGGACACAGTACAGGGGATGACCAGAGGCTGCGGACACAGTACAGGGGATGACCAGAGGCTGCGGACACAGTACAGGGGATGACCAGAGGCTGCGGACACAGTACAGGGGATGACCAGAGGCTGCGGGACACAGTACAGGGGATGACCAGAGGCTGCGGACACAGTACAGGGGATGACCAGAGGCTGCGGACACAGTACAGGGGATGACCAGAGGCTGCGGACACAGTACAGGGGATGACCAGAGGCTGCGGACACAGTACAGGGGATGACCAGAGGCTGCGGACACAGTACAGGGGATGACCAGAGGCTGCGGACACAGTACAGGGGATGACCAGAGGCTGCGGACACAGTACAGGGGATGACCAGAGGCTGCGGACACAGTACAGGGGATGACCAGAGGCTGCGGACACAGTACAGGGGATGACCAGAGGCTGCGGACACAGTACAGGGGATGACCAGAGGCTGCGGACACAGTACAGGGGATGAACAGAGGCTGCGGACACAGTACAGGGGATGAACAGAGGCTGCGGACACAGTACAGGGGATGAACAGAGACTGCGGACACAGTACAGGGGATGAACAGAGACTGCGGACACAGACCAGGGGATGAACAGAGACTGCGGACACAGTACAGGGGATGAACAAAGACTGACGACACAGTACAGGGGATGAACAGAGACTGCGGACACAGTACAGGGGATGAACAGAGACTGCGGACACAGTACAGGGGATGAACAGAGACTGACGACACAGTACAGGGGATGAACAGAGACTGACGACACAGTACAGGGGATGAACAGAGACTGACGACACAGTACAGGGGATGAACAGAGACTGACGACACAGTACAGGGGATGACCAATCACTGCGGACACAGGAGAGGGGATGACCAGAGGCTGCGGACACAGTACAGGGGATGACCAATCACTGCGGACACAGGAGAGGGGATGACCAGAGGCTGCGGACACAGTACAGGGGATGACCAGAGGCTGCGGACACAGTACAGGGGATGACCAGAGGCTGCGGACACAGTACAGGGGATGACCAGAGGCTGCGGACACAGTACAGGGGATGACCAGAGGCTGCGGACACAGTACAGGGGATGACCAGAGACTGACGACACAGTACAGGGGATGACCAGAGGCTGCGGACACAGTAGGGGATGACCAGAGGCTGCGGACACAGTACAGGGGATGACCAGAGGCTGCGGACACAGTACAGGGGATGACCAGAGACTGACGACACAGTACAGGGGATGACCAGAGGCTGCGGACACAGTACAGGGGATGACCAGAGGCTGCGGACACAGTACAGGGGATGACCAGAGGCTGCGGACACAGTACTGGGGATGACCAGAGGCTGACGACACAGTACAGGGGATGACCAGAGACTGACGACACAGTGCAGGGGATGACCAGAGAATGACGACACAGTGCAGGGGATGACCAGAGAATGACGACACAGTGCAGGGGATGACCAGAGACCGACGATACAGTGCAGGGGATGACCAGAGACCGACGACACAATGTAGGGGATGACCAGAGACCGACGACACAGTGCAGGGGATGACCAGAGACCGACGACACAGTACAGGGGATGACCAGAGACCGACGACACAGTACAGGGGATGACCAGAGACCGACGACACAGTACAGGGGATGACCAGAGACTGACGACACAGTACAGGGGATGACCAGAGGCTGCGGACACAGTACAGGGGGATGACCAGAGGCTGCGGACACAGTACAGGGGATGACCAGAGACTGACGACACAGTACAGGGGGGGATGACCAGAGACTGACGACACAGTACAGGGGATGACCAGAGACTGACGACACAGTACAGGGGATGACCAGAGACTGACGACACAGTACAGGGGATGACCAGAGGCTGCGGACACAGTACAGGGGATGACCAGAGGCTGCGGACACAGTACAGGGGATGACCAGAGGCTGCGGACACAGTACTGGGGATGAACAGAGACTGCGGACACAGTACAGGGGATGAACAGAGGCTGCGGACACAGTACAGGGGATGACCAGAGGCTGCGGACACAGTACAGGGGATGACCAGAGGCTGCAAACACAGTACAGGGGATGACCAGAGGCTGCGGACACAGTACAGGGGATGACCAGAGGCTGCGGACACAGTACAGGGGATGACCAGAGGCTGCGGACACAGTACAGGGGATGACCAGAGGCTGCGGACACAGTACAGGGGATGACCAGAGGCTGCGGACACAGTACAGGGGATGACCAGAGGCTGCGGACACAGTACAGGGGATGACCAGAGGCTGCGGACACAGTACAGGGGATGACCAGAGGCCTCGGACAAAGTACTGGGGATGACCAGAGGCTGACGACACAGTACAGGGGATGACCAGAGACTGACGACACAGTGCAGGGGATGACCAGAGAATGACGACACAGTGCAGGGGATGACCAGAGAATGACGACACAGTGCAGGGGATGACCAGAGACCGACGACACAGTGCAGGGGATGACCAGAGACCGACGACACAGTGCAGGGGATGACCAGAGACTGACGACACAGTACAGGGGATGACCAGAGACTGACGACACAGTACAGGGGATGACCAGAGACTGACGACACAGTACAGGGGATGACCAGAGACTGACGACACAGTACAGGGGATGACCAGAGACTGACGACACAGTACAGGGGATGACCAGAGACTGACGACACAGTACAGGGGATGACCAGAGACTGACGACACTGTACAGGAGATGACCAGAGACTGCGGACACAGTACAGGAGATGACCAGAGACTGCGGACAGTACAGAAGATGACCAGAGACTGACGACACAGTACAGAAGATGACCAGAGACTGCGGACAGTACAGAAGATGACCAGAGACTGCGGACAGTACAGAAGATGACCAGAGACTGCGGACAGTACAGAAGATGACCAGAGACTGCGGACAGTACAGAAGATGACCAAGAGACTGCGAACAGTACAGGGGATGACAAAGAGACTGCGGACAGTACAGGGGATGACCAAGAGACTGCGGACAGTACAGGGGATGACCAAGAGACTGCGGACAGTACAGGGGATGACCAGAGACTGTGGACACAGTACAGGAGATGACCACAGATTGCGGACAGTACAGGAGATGACCAGAGATTGCGGACAGTACAAAAGATGACCAGAGACTGCGGACAGTACAGGGGATGACCAAGAGACTGCGGACAGTACAGGGGATGACCAAGAGACTGCGAACAGTACAGGAGATGACCAAGAGACAGCGGACAGTACAGGGGATGACCAAGAGACAGCGGACAGTACAGGGGATGACCAAGAGACAGCGGACAGTACAGGGGATGACCAAGAGACAGCGGACAGTACAGGGGATGACCAAGAGACAGCGGACAGTACAGGGGATGACCAAGAGACAGCGGACAGTACAGGGGATGACCAAGAGACAGCGGACAGTACAGGGGATGACCAAGAGACAGCGGACAGTACAGGGGATGACCAAGAGACAGCGGACAGTACAGGGGATGACCAAGAGACAGCGGACAGTACAGGGGATGACCAGAGACTGCGGACAGTACAGGGGATGACCAGAGACTGCGGACAGTACAGAGGATGACCAGAGACTGCGGACACAGTACAGGAGATGACCAGAGATTGCAGACAGTACAGTAGATGACCAGAGATTGCGGACAGTACAGAAGATGACCAGAGACTGTGGACAGTACAGGGGACGACCAAGAGACTGCGGACAGTACAGGGGATGACCAAGAGACTGCGGACAGTACAGGGGATGACCAAGAGACTGCAGACAGTACAGGGGATGACCAAGAGACTGCGGACAGTACAGGGGATGACCAAGAGACTGCGGACAGTACAGAGGATGACCAAGAGACTGCGGACAGTACAGGGGATGACCAAGAGACTGCGGACAGTACAGGAGATGACCAAGTAACTGTGGACCTTTGGGGAGGGAGGGGGGGGGGGAGCGGGTACCTGAATTTGACAGGTACCCGCTCCCACTTCCACGGAGTTGTCCTCCCTTTAGTGTGGGCACCCGGCTGTGACAGAAGCGCTGCGCTTTGTGATTGGTCCAGAGTCTTCTGGGACCTGTCAGGTGTCCCAGAAGACGCTGTGCCATTCACAAAGCGCAGCGCTTCTCGCGCATGCGCAGTGGGCACCCAGCTGTCACAGTCGAGTGCCTACACTAAAGAAGCTGGTGCCGGAAGACTGTACAGCGCTGGATCGAGGAACAGGTAAGTTTCTGCTGCAGAGAAGAAACGAGCGGCTGGCCAGGTATTCTGACACGGCGGTTTTTGGGGGGAAAAAGTGCGTCTTATGGAGCGAAAAATACAGTATTTGAAAACTGACAAATCATGATGCACCGATTGCCTATCTAATTTCTCAAGGTCCTAAAATGCCAGGACAGTGCAAATACCCCACAAATTACCCTTTTTTGGAAAGTATACAGTCCAAGGTATTTAGTAAGAGGCACAATGAGTTTAAGAAATGAAATGGGTTTTTTTCCACATACTGTCACCAGAGCAGTACAGTGGTGTAATATGACTGGTGGTGATATGGAACACTGGTGACAGTATGTTAGAAAAAATAAAGTTTTTTTTTTTTTTTACTTTTTTTTTTAATATATTGTGAATACAGCAGTACAGTGTCACTATAGGCACCATGATGACATTGTTCTGCTCTGGGGAGATGATTAGTTTTTCTTTTTTCACTATGATGGCTTATTACAGTGATGGTCTGATCACTGTTATAAGCAATCATTTCTGTGAATAGCATCCATTCATGTGCCACTGTGCGCTATTGTGATAGCAGCAATTGGCCACAGCTATCACATAGTACAGGTTCACTGTGATTGGCCCCTGATCACTGTGACCAATCACAGTAGTACACAATGAATGGCTATGAATGAAAACCATTGTGTACTATTGACATGTGACTGCTGTGAACCTGCACCTGCACAACGTTGTATGACAAACACTCAGGATAATAGTGCTCCCATCGAGTCTATTGTAAAATGGCAGTGATTACTGGTAATCATTGACATGACAACACAGCTCTGAATTCATAAGCAATGGGTGTCATTTCTGATGCATTACAAAGAACACAGACCTCTCCTTATCGCCTTCACCTCTCATCCCTATACCCATTCTTCTGCACAAGCAGAGAGCACAGGAAGTTAGGATTATAAGAGGTTTGTCGAAATCAACAAGCATATCTGCACTTATAGAATAGAAAAAAAATTCCAAAAGGTAAAATAGCTTTCCAGGGGTCCAGCTCCATTGTCACCCGGGTTAGTTCTTCGCTAGCTCCTGGGTTCCTGACTCCGGCATTCCAAGTAAGGGAAAACTGGAAGTGAAGCCTTGCAACTTCATACTGTGCATGTGTGAGACGTGCTGTGACTTGAGATTGGTCCCGCAGTCTTCTGGGACCTGTGAAGTGTACCAGAAGACTGCGGGGGGGAAGGAGGAGGGCCAATCTTCTGGCTCAGTTCGCGCGACGAACAGAGCCGGAAGTGGGAGCGGGTACCTGTCAAAACCAAGTACCCACTCCCCCCGTGCCAAATGTGCCAGTGGATGGGGGGGGGAGGAGGCAGACAAGCAGAGCTTCCCCTTTTGGGAGGAGCTTCGCTTTAATATTGCACATGTGTATAACAAAATATTTAGATTAAAAAAAGATTTCTAAAACACAGTAACATTATGTAATTACGTAAAATCACGCTCATTCCAATCTCGTAACACAATCTGTTTCAATCCATTTACGAGATAGATTAGTTACACTCACAATTAAATACTTCACAGATTACAATATACATGCATGACGTAATCTCTAGATTGAAACATTACGGGATTAGCAGGCAGCTCTTTGGTAACTACAAGAATACCGCACGAACTTCATTATATACGACATACCTCCCGTCCACAGAAAAAAACACGGAAATTTAGTTAATCGAAAATTGTCATTGTTCTTGATTATCACCTTTCAATAAACTTTCCTTCTAGTCTCGTTTGTCTCTCAGCCGCGCTTGAATCTTCACAATGTAGCAGCTCCTATTGGTTGCATCTCCAGCCCCGTTGAACTAGCCTTTACGTCTAATAGGCTGAACAGCATCCTCTACTATGAGACCGAGGTAAAAGGCAAGGAATCTCGTTGGCGGAGGCTATATTACAATACACTGATTGGTCAATCTTCTTGTCAGTTTAAACTAGCAAATTAGGTTGAAATATACTTTTTTTTCGACTGCCAATCCTACTCAGTTTCATCCTAGTGGTAGGGGTTTATATTAAAGGGCCAGGTACTATCGGAGTTAAATTAAAAACGGGCAAATTAATCAAATTTCTGTAAACAGACTTTAATGTGAAATTAAAGTAAGAATAAAAGGTTAGAAATACATACCTCTTAATTAAAAAATTTAAAAAGGGACATACTTGGGAAAGTATGTGGTATGAGCTGTGTGGTATGCTTTTTGCAGGCTGGCTACATTGCATAGTTACTAATATTCTAAAAATTCCAGGGACACCGTTTTTTTGCTGTGTGCCAAGCAAACTATTATAGGCAGAGAATGTACTTTAATTAGTAACATGCATTCATTTAAAATAAGCATGGTTCTACAAGAAACATATTGTAAAGATTGTAAACTCCAAGGAGCAGGGCCCTCCTATCCCTCATGTATTGAACTGTATTGTTGCTGTATTGTCTTCCTTTATATTGTAAAGCGCTGAGCAAACTGTTAGCGCTATATAAATCCTGTATAATAATAATATTGTTAAAGTGATTGTAAAGGTAATTTTTTTCACAAAAAATAACAAACATGTCTATACTTACCTGCACCATTGCACAGAGCTTCCGCTGCTAGCCCCTTCTCTCTGTCCAGTGCGGCTTCCCATGGGGGCACTCGAGTGTGCTTGTTCCCGAGCCCTGCTGCTGCATCCATTGACAGAGACAGTGGGACTTGCCCCCCCGCTCCCTTGTCACTGGCTTTGATTGATTCACACAGAAGTGAGGGGAGATAAGAACTGCAGACGTGCACGGTGCTGGATCGAATGAGGGCTCAAGTAAGTAAAAGAGGGGGGGGGGATGCTGATGCCTAAACATTTTTTACCCTAATGCAAGGAATGCATTAAGGTAAAAAATGTTTAGGCTTTAGAACCATGTATGTATGAGTTATTTTAAATTACAGTACATGTTTATTTATGAATAATATTACAGATGCATGGTCTATTCTTGTCACTATCAAAAAACCCATTCTGTGAAATGCCATTCAGTCACTTCCTAACCACTTGCCCTTTAGAGGATTTACCCCCCTTCCTGACCATGCCATTTTTTGTGATTCAGCGCTGCGTTACTTTAACTGACAAATTATATCTGTGTTCTTTTTTCCCATAAATAGAGCTTTCATTCGGTGGTATTTGATCACCTGTGCATTTTTATTTTTTGAGCTATAAAAAAAAAAAAAGAATGACAATTTTGAAAAAAAAACAATATTTTTGACTTTATGCTATAAACCATATCCAGTAAAAAAAATTTTAAAAAAAAATCAAATTTTGTCATATATCTAGGCCAAAATGTTTTATGCTGCTAAAAAAAATCCCAATTCGTATAAATTAATTGGTTTACATGAAAGTTATAGCGTCTACAATATACTGGATTTTTTTTTTTTTACACTAGTAATGGCGGCGATTAGCGAATTATAGTGGGACTGCGGCGGGCATTCTGACACTGGGTAGGAACTGGCTAACTGCCACTGACATCCCAATGACAGTAAAACAGTGATCAGTGCTAATAAAAAGCACTGACACTGTACTAATGACACTGGGCAGGAAGGGGTTAACATCTGGGGCGATCAAAGGGTTAACTGTGTGCTGTTTAACATAATGTGCTGTGTGCGTTTTACAAGGGAAACATGCTGCTGTGTATTTCTCTGCTGTGCAGAGATATACAGAGCAGCATGTTACTGCTGGCAAGTGTTTTTTACACACAGGTCTCTCTCATGTCAGTATTACTCATGGATCAGGGAATCTCCGGCCGAGCCCCGGTGATTGACATCTGTAGCCGCTAATGGTGGTGCATGCGCCCCCTACCCGTAAATGCAAATATGGTGTATATATACGTGATTTTGTGCCACCCTGTAGCAGTAGTTCTGCTATAGGGTGGCGGGGAAGCGGTTAAGTACATTATTATTATTATTATTATTATTACACAGTATTTATATAGCGCTAAAAGGTTTGCTCAGCGCTGTACATTATAGTGGGGGACAGTACATGAGACAATACAGTAACAAAACAGAACACGAGGGATTCAAGGGCCCTGCTCTTTCGAGCTTACAATCTAGGAGGGAGGGGATAGTGGTACAGGAGGAAGTGGCTGTGGGGGGTGGAGTGGTGGGAGGAGTGGAGGAGATGGGTTTTCAGGGTGTGCCTAAAGGTGAGGAGGGTAGGTGACAGTCTGATGGATTGGGGTAGTGAGTTCCAGAGGATGGGGGAAGTCCTGGAGAAGTCCTGCAGTTGGGCGTGGGAGGTGGAGACCAGGGAGCTAGAAAGTAGGAGGTCTTATGAAGAGCGAAGATTACGGGTAGGGTGGTATTTGGGTATCAGGTCAATGAGGTAGTTTGGGGCAGCATTATGAATGGCTTTGTATGTCTGTGTTAGTAGTTTGAATTTAATGCGTTGGGCAATCGGGAGCCAGTGGAGGGAATGACAGAGGGGGGTGGCAGAAGTGGAGCGGTTGGTAAGGTGGATGAGTCTGGCCACTGAGTTCAGGATAGACTGAAGAGGGGATAGTCTGCGATGAGGTAGGCCGGTGAGAAGGGAGTTGCAGTAGTCCAGACGTGAGATAATAAGAGAGTGAACGAGTAGTTTAGTAGTGTCTGGGGTTAGGAATGAACGTATTTTGGAGATGTTGCGGAGGTGGAGCCTGCATGAGTTTGCCAACGATTGGACATGGGGTTGGAAGGACAGGTTTGAGTCTAGAGTGACACCTAGGACTTTGGTTTGCAGGGTGGGACTGATGGTGGCGTTGTTGGTCGTGATGGAGAGGGTAGGGGGGGGAACAGGCTGGGGGGAAAATCAGGATCTCAGTTTTGGAAAGGTTAAATTTGAGGAAATGGAGCGAGATCCAGTCTGATTTGTCGTTCAGTAGGTGGGTGATACGGGCGGAGACTAAAGGGGTGAGGCAAGGGGTGGAGAGGTAAATTTGCGTGTCATCGGCATAGAGGTGATAGT